AGTTGTAGAGCCACATAATTTCAAGGAAGCAGTGGAGGATGACAGATGGATACAAGCTATGAAACAAGAGATTCAAGCATTGGAGGACAACAAAACTTGGGTTGTGGTGGATCTGCCACCAGGAAAATCTTCTATAGGCTCAAAATGAGTCAATAAAATCAAGTATAAAGCCAATGGAGAGGTAGAAAGATTTAAAGCTCGACTTGTTGCCAAAGGATACAATCAACAAGAAGGACTAGACTATCATGAAACTTTCTCACCTGTGGCTAAGATGGTGACAGTTAGATTAGTGATTGCATTAGCTGCTTCCAAGGATTGGCATCTATTTCAGATGGATGTTTTCAATGCATTTTTACAAGGAGACTTAGAAGAGGAAGTGTATATGGACCTACCACAAGGCTTTCAAAGCCAGGGGGAGAACAAGGTTTGTAGGCTGCATAAGTCTCTTTATGGACTTAAACAAGCATCGAGACAGTGGAATCTCAAGCTCACAGAAGCCTTGATAAGTGCAGGGTTCAGCCAAAGTTCATATGCCTATTCCTTGTTCACAAAAAGGGCTGGAAATGATATAGTGATAATCTTGATATATGTGGATGATTTATTGCTAACAAGAAGAAGTATGCAGCTTATTGATGAAGCAAGGTCAGTGCTACATAAGAAGTAAAAGGTGAAAGACTTGGGAGAATTAAGATACTTTCTAGGAATTGAAGTATTAAGATCCCAGAAGGATATTCTCCTCAATCAAAGGAAATACACTCTAGAGCTTATTTCAGAAATGGGGCTGAGTGGTGCTAAACCTGCTGTCACTACTCTAGAACTTAATCAAAAACTGACTTCTATTGAGTGTGACAAAGAAGTTGGAAGTCAAGATCTTGATCCTGCCTTGAGAGATGTCACTAGCTATCAAAAACTGATTGGGAAATTGCTATATCTTACAGTTACTAGACCAGACATTAGCTATGCAGTACAAGTTCTAAGTCAGTTTATGCAAGCCCCAAAGAGGTCTCACACGGAAGCTTCTACTCGCGTAGTAAGATATCTTAAACAAGCACCAGGAATAGGGGTGATCATGCGGAGACATCAGGAAGCGGCCTTGGTTGGATTTTGTGACTCAGATTGGGCAGCATGTCCTATGAGTCGAAGATCAGTTAGTGGCTATCCTGTGAAGTTTGGGGATTCTTTGATCTCTTGGAAGTCCAAGAAGCAGCATACAGTGTCTAGAAGTAGTGCTGAAGCAGAATACAGAAGCCTGGCATCTGCAGTGGCTGAGATTGTGTGGTTGAGAGGTCTGTTTGCAGAACTTGGAACTCCAATTCAACAACCAACTAAGTTGTTCTCAGATAGTAAGGCAGCAATTCAGATTGCAACTAATCCAATCTTTCATGAACGTACGAAGCACATTGAAATAGACTGTCACTTTATCAGAGAGAAACTCAAAGAAGGCATATTGTGCACTCAGTATATTTCCACGCACCTTCAGCAAGCTGACATCTTTACTAAAGGATTAGCATCTCCACAACATCAGTTTCTACTTAGCAAGCTTGGTGTGTTAAATATTTTACACCCTCCAGCTTGAGGGGGAGTATTGAAATGAGGAGTTAATTGTATGGATGTATATATGATAGGGACCTAAGTGTATACATCTAGAAGTTAGGGGTGTTAGTATAATTATAGTTAGTTGATAACTGACTATTGGATACTGAGTATATATCTACACGTGTGCATCTGTTTCAGCTCAGCTGAGCAATTAATAAGAATAATTTCTTCTTCTTCAAAGCTTCTTCTAACAGAAATATTCCTTGGAATTTCATTTCTTTAATAGTAAAATAACTTGGAAAATAAACCAGCCATATTATGGCATAACTTGGAGGCTAAAGAAGTTGAGAACGAACCACACCAACAAACTTTTGCAAAGGAAATCAATTTACTTATCACTTTGTATATCGAGATTGGACTTCCTTGGCCACTCATCAACAGGATGGAGATTCTCTCAATAGTTCTAATTTTCCTATGAAAAAGTTTGAATCCTCACTTAGGAATGGGGATTATGTGATATTGAGCACTGAACCTGGTGGTATACTTATAGCTACTGGAGTTGTTGTAGATATGAGTTGCTCTCGCATCTCGACCAGCAAGTTGGACGCTAAGTTTGCTAATGAATGGAGATCAATAGCTCGTTTGAAACTTCATAATGCGATAAAGCGTGAAATTTGCGATTCTAAGGGAGTACGGTGTAATTTTTTCCAAGAATATCATATGGATTTTTCCCTACTCCAGGTATGTTAAGGCTAAGCTCTTCTTTCATTTTGCATGATCTTGTCATTACATGATTTTGTTAATGAGCCATAAAGAAAAATTCATATCCCGAAATTTATGTATATTTCGCTAGTCTCGCAAGTTACAATATTCTCCTTATCGGGACTTCATATTCAATTGAGTATTGTCTTACTCCAGTCAAGAGAGCAGAGAGTCTATATATACAGTATTACAGTATTTTCATTACCATCGAGCTATAATCGATGGGCAGGCCCCTATTGGGCAACCTCTGATCAGATGGTAAGTTATATACCAAGCCTACTGTGGCCGAGCGCCTATGAGCGAGCCTACTACGGCAGAGCAGTTATATATATATATACCGAGCCTTATAGGGCCGGAAAGCTATTTTACTTACTATATTGAGAGAGTTGAGTCAGTATCAGCAGGTAAGCATACCTTCAGATTATCTTTGACTTCCAGTTACTTGCAGTTATTATATTATCAATTCAGTTTCAGCTTTCAATATATTGCCTTACATACTCGGTACATTTTTCGTACTGACGTCCCTTTTGCCTGGGGACGCTGCGTTTCATGGACGCAGGTCCCGATAGACAGGTTGAGAGCCCTCTAAGTAGGTTATCAGCTCAGCGGAAGATGTTGGTGCGCTCCATTTGCTTCGGAGTTGCTTGTTTGGTTAGTATGATTTAGGCGTGTATTATTTGGTATGGCGGGACTCTGCCCCGACCTTTATGACATTTATGTACTCCTAGAGGCTTGTAGACATATGTCGTGTACGTGAAAGATTGTACGGCCTTGTCGGCCTATATTTTGAGTTTATAAATGATTATGTTGGCCTATTAGGCCCGTATGTCACGTGTATATGATGATGTAATAAGAAAGATACGTTATGTTGGTACTCGGTTGAGTAAGGTACTGGGTGGCCGTCGCGGCCCATCGGTTTGGATCGTGTTGGTACTCGGTTGAGTAAGGTACTGGGTGGCCGTCGCGGCTCATCAGTTTGGGTCGTGACATGTATTCGCCAAAGTTTAGTTTCCATTGGTTCAAACGAATTATTATTTGGGCATTTTAAACAGAGTTAAGATCAGTTTACCAAAAGTTTGATGTGTAAAAATGTATAGTCCCTTAAGGCCTAAAGCGCCAAATCTAGTGCCACAGTGTTTTGACTATAAACCTTGTAACGTCAAAATTGAAGTCATAGGGTTGGTCGATGAAAGAGCGAACTTTGAATGAATCTTCAATAGAGTAATTTAAAACGTTTGTATTTGACGAGAGTTTTTATTCTACCATTTCAAGATTCATGAGGGCGCATTGGGTGATAGTTGGGTGCTCTTTAACTCAGTGTATCAAGAAAGGTTATGAATTCATCCCATAACTCGATATGAAGTAACTAAATGTAAATGTACTGCTACTGTTTGTTATTGTATTTGAGTTGGACTATTCCAACAAGCTATTATTAGTTATTGTATTTGAGTTGGACTCTTCCAACAAGATTAAGTAGATATATGTAGGAATACTACTTGTACTTTGTATCACTATATAAAGATGAAACCATAAAGGGTGTGCTCTGGTTTCATATCATGGTATCAGAGCTATATCTTAATTTTCTATGAACAATCTTGGCCCTCTTCATTACTCTTTAGGTGTTCATATTACAATAACCTCTAAATGTCTCCATTTATCTCAAGCTAAATATGCTTGTGATCTTCTTTCTTGTGCATCTTTAGTTGATTGTAAACTAGTTCTATCTCCTACATCTAGTTCTCGACTATCTGGACATGAGTGTAATTTGTTTTCTAGATCCTTCGCATTATCGCAGTCTTGTAGGTGCCTTGTAGTATCTCACTATATTACTAGGCATGACATCTCAATGCTATAAATACTGTATCTCATGAGTTCTCCTCGTACCATTCATTTTATTGTTGTTAAACATATCATTCGCTACCTTGCTGGTATGATAACCCCTGACCTTAACCTACATTCCTCATTTTTGTCTGTAATGGCCTACTTTGAGGCTGATTAGATTGGGTGTTCGACATCTGTTGATCAACTACTGATTTTGTCATTTTTTTGTCCAAATCTTATATCTTGGAGTTGTAAAAAGCAATCTACTGTCTCTCGCTCTAGTACTGAAGCCGAACATCGAGGCTTAGCTCATACCATAGTGGAATTAACATGGATTCAACATCACCTTCGTGACTTGGGTAATTCTATTTGGTACTATGTGATAACATTAGTGCTTTATATTTATCTATTGATCCTGTTTATCATGATTGAACCAAATATTTGGAGATTAATTTTTACTTTATTCGAGAACATGTTGCAGCTAGTTCTATTTTGGTTCGCTATATATCTACTAACAGATAACTTGTAGACATTCTCTCTTAAGGTTTATCGTCTCATCGGTTTTCAATTTTTCGTGACAAGCTTCACATTTCTTCTCAATCATGTCAGCTTAAAGGGGCATGTTAATGTACTGCTAGTGCTCATTATTGTATTTGAGTTGGACTCCTCCAACAAGCCACTGTTAGTTATTGTACTTGAGTTGGACTCTTCCAAAAAGATTAAGTAGATATATATAGGAATATTACTTGTACTTTCTAGCACTGTATTAAGATGAATAACAACCCATAAAGGGTGTGTGTATTGGTTTCATATCGGTAAGGACATGGATTTAACCATGAGATTATTGTATAATTTCAACCTTTTCATTTTGGGACAACTACTCAAAAACAAGATTCATGAATTATGCATACACCACATTCCTAATAATAGAAAAATATTTAATCAATAATATACTACTATTCCTCTTCAAGTGATATAACTTATAGAGAAGAAAAGATAGGGAAGCCAGGTAGAGTATAACCAGCATCAACAATAAAGATATTGCCAGATACATAGTTGGAAGAGTCATGGACCAAATATCTCACTAGTGAAGTTAATGCTGGATTTGTGGTTCCAAAAGTTTTCAGTGGAACAGTTCTTGTTGCTACATTTTTTAGCCAATCTTGTTCTACTAGTTTCTCAGTAATCTCTGATTTGAAAAGCCCTGGAGCTATTGCATTCACTCTAATGTTGTATTCTCCCAATTCTAATGCCATTATCTGCATGTAGATATATATCAAAATGTCAATTTAGAGATTTCTCGAAGATGGGAAAGCCAGAAATATTTGTCTAGGAAAAACAGATAAATTTAATAAATAAATTAGAAACGACAAAAGTAAAAATGAAAGGTTTGGAAAAATCCTACATGGGACCAAATGGAATTGACAAATTATAATTCATAAAGAGTTAGCATGATTTCCAACTTCCTCATCTCATAAAGTCTAAAGGAGTAGAGGTGTGTTTGGTATGACTGACACCATTTTATGGAATTGACAAATTATAATTCATAATGAGTGCACGATTTCAACTTTCCCATCTCATAAAATTTAGAGTAGAGGTGTGTTTGGTATGACTAACATGATTTTATGGAAAATATTTTTTGACAAAATATCTTCTGGTTGGAGAGTTAAAAATATTTTCTAAAGAAACAATCATTTATTAAAGTTCGATAAAAATATAGCAACTCAGTGTGTGCTTAAAACTTTGAGTATTAAAAATAGATTATAATGTCTAGGTGTTGAATATAAGAACCAAACACCAGAAAATGACTTCATACCAAAAGCACCCTAGGGTAAGATAAGTTTGGACATTAGGTCATAACCTTTGTAATGGAATCCATGGCTGCCTTGGAGGAGATATAGGCAATACCCCCACGAAATAAAACTCTATTTAAACCAGCAGCAGATGAAATATTAATAATGGAGCCTCCCCTTTTTGCAGCTTTCATGTATCTTCCAACATACTTGGAAACTAGCCAAGATCCTGTCAAATTTGTATTTAAAGTATTGCGCCATTCTTCCTCAGAAAGATCTAATGCTGATTTTATTCCACCTATAAACACAAATGTAGATTAAGATTATGGAGCTAAAGTAGCCTACCAAATTCAATCATTCTCTTTGGGATGAATAGGTTATTTAAAAGTTCAAAAAATAACACCATAAACTTTAAGTAATTACTCCCAGTAAAAGTTCACTCGTCAATTCTCTATTTTAAGATGGGATGAAGTATTGTATTTTCTCCAAGTGTAGACCATGGGGCCGAGCTAGCTTGTGACATATTTTTTTTTTTCGAAATTTACCTCTAAGAATTTCTAGCTCCACTACAAGTGTCAAATATGAATATTTTATGAATATCATACAGAATTACTTACTTATTNTTTTGTAATTTTACGACGAAGAATGGGGTAAATATAAAGAGAAAATGAGAGAAAAAATATCTCTCATTAGAAATAGGTTTAAAAAATTTAGAAATAATTTATTTAAACATAAAACTCGACCCTTGTGCATGCCTAGCTAGTTATAACTCGAAAGAAGCCTAAGTTAGGGTTAGAGTAGGGAGACAGCAGTTGCAATTTTTGACTGGCATTTATTGTTCAAATCTTTTTAGATAACTTCAATTTGTTTAACTGTTAGATCCAATTACGTAGGTACTTATTTGAATGGCATACGTTGTTTATGCATTTTCCTCGATACCAACTAATTATATTCGTGATTATTCAAATAAAATAGGAAAAAATCGATCAACTAATTTATGTCACATTTGATCCAATATGTAGTTGCTAAAGCTATCAACATCAAATAATGAGTTTCAGTTAGTCTTGGTTAAATATTTGAGTCGATTGCTCACATAATCACTCAACTTTGAATATTTAAATTAGGCAGAATAACCTAATAAACACTTCTACTTGTCCCGCTTTGTCATCCCGGTCCCGATACTTTACGAAGTTTCATCCAGATACTTGTAGTTTTCAAAATACATTATTTTAAACCCCTCCGGCCTCGCGTGTTCTTCAAACACACGATGTGGATGACACATCATAGTCCACATCAACTTTTAAATGACACATCATTATTTTTTAATTTAATTTTTTTTCCTTTTTTCACTCCTCCCCCACCCTTGACCACCTATCTCTATTTTCTAGAACAGAAATAACACCACGATTTACCGCCTTTATCGGCGGCAGCACCACGGTGGACAACTAAAACCCACCATTATCCAACTTTCCATTGTCCATCTCCCTTTCAGAAATTTTTACCACTGAAACTCCTCATCATTGGACAGATTTCAGTCCAAATTTTTTCAGAAATAGTGGTCGAAAAAATGCAGGTGCCTTCGAAATAGACATTCAAGAGGCGTGATGTAGCCGGTGACAAACACCACTTTGCCTTGCAATTGGCGCCATGGCTCCAAATGGTCTGCTATATTGCTCTTATGTTGACTTGTCATATTGCTATCGGACTTGCTAGGAGTTTCTCGGTGTTTATTATGCTATGATATGGTTCTAAATTTATAGGTATGAATTCTGAATTTGTGAACTGAAGATGTACATAATTTTTAAATAGAAAAACGCATTTCACATGTTATGACGCTATAGTTTGTAGACTTGCCTATGTAGCGTACCCTGGTCCATGAGTTGATAGGCTCCAGCAAAATTGTTGGTAGACATTAAATAGATGGTCCCTTTTATCAAACTAGTTTTTGGCCGTGTCACTGAAAATAATTATAAATAACATCAATAATATTCAAAAGATGTTTTAGAGATACAAATAAAACTTAACAAATTGCATCCAACCCATCATGATAAGATCCAAGGGCTAGAATTCATTGTCACTACAAAGTAAAAGAGGCTGCAAGTATTTTCTTATTTTGTTTTTTCTACTCTACTTTGCAGAAGTTCTATACTTGGCTATTCCCTAGAATTTCCTCTGTTTTACTTTGCAGCAGTTCTTTGTTTTAGTAATTTATTATATTACAAAAATTCAGGCGTTAATCTTATGAAAAAATTTCAATTCAAAAACCCTTTTAATAATCGCTTATCCTTAATTTTATCAGCTCTTCTTCTTGTTTCATCAGCTAAATTAGCATTAATTTTGGTATATTCCAATATTATTTTATTTCCTGAAGGCAATACTCTAAAGAAGTAATTAAAGAAACTTTTTATAGAAAGACTCACATGTGCCTGTAGAGTTAAGCTACATTTGTGACATATTTATGCCTGTAGACTCACATACTTTGCAGAAGTTCTATACTTGGCTTTACAGGACAATCATGTATAACATGAAATGAACATGTAACTTTACAGAAGTAGATGTACAACTAAAACCCCAAATGAAGAAAACAATCTCTTATCTAAATAAAAGAAACAAAAGAGCGCTTTTGTGTTTGACCCATAACAATGGATATTTGATTCCTTGAAAACGTTCCTGACAAGAATATGTTTCCTCAATATTTTCAATAATACTCATATATACCTCATTGTTCCAGAATATAGTACATAATTAGCCAGTCACGAGAAATACTTAATTAACTTCCCAGAAGGAGCTTCACTCATCCAGCTCTTCAATTCGTTGATATAAATGATCTACGAATGTCACGACCTCAATTTTTCACCTTAGGATGCCGTGATAACACTTAGTCTCTAAAACTAGGTAAGACTAACATGCAAAGAGAAATAATGAAAATAATAATAAAATTTCAAGTTTAAACCATTACACTATCATAATAAATCGCAATAGCACAACTAACAATAACTCCCAAGATCTGATGGAACTGAGTCATATGCTCTACAAGAATGTACTAATAGTCTCATACAATACTATTTGGAACAAGAAACAAAAAATAGAAAGTCTAAAACCAGAAGGTGACTTTGAGGCATGCGGACGTCGAGCAAGTATATCTAGAAGTCTCCGGAAAGCAGCTAATCAACCAATCACTAGCGTCCAGCACGGGCAAACGTACCTAGATCTGCACAAAAGACGTGCAGAAGTGTAGTATGAGTACACCACAACGGTCCCCATTAAGTATCAAGCCTAACCTCGGTAGAGTAGTGACGAGGCCAGGTCAAGACACCTACTAGGACATGATAAACAGAACAAAAATATAATAACGAGAAGTAATGGAAAACGCAGAAATGAATGATAACAAACAGTTTAGTAACGTAAACTAATAACAGAATTTAAGCAAAAAGACAACAAGAAGGAAACAGATAATGAGAACCACGAATAATCAAATACGGATAAAACGTGTAAGACAAGGAATAATAAAAGTTATAAGAACTGTTCAACCAATAACTCTTCTCAATATAAAATGCAAAACAAGAATCATAACCGAGGTACCGCCTCGTATTCACATTTCACAATTTCAATGTCAATATTACCTTGTATCACCGCGGGAGCCTTACATTTAGTTTTGAAAATTATTTTTCCGAAATAGCTACCCGCATTTGAGCCCACCTTATCTCACCGCGTGGCATCAAGTAGTTCCCCTACTGGCAACACGTGTATCAAGCCCACCTTATCGCACCACATACGTATCAATTCCTAGCCTTATACCAACGCATGTGTATCTATATCACAACATAATCACAACTTGCACCACAAGTTCCTATATGCCACAACTTGCCAAAAGTATCAACAATACCAATGTTTCCACAATAAATAGCCACGTGGCTCAACCACAATGTGTACAAGAATCTCAAAAATAACAAAATGAATGTGCGTTGCTCAACAAGAAAGATATCTCAACAATTAATAAATTCACCTTGATGTGATAACAGCTTTTAAAACTTCAACTCCAATAATTCAACAAAAAGATATTTCAAGAAATAACAACCTCGATTAAAAGTAATGCAACAATTGAAGATATAACACGACAATAAGGAAAGCAATAATTTCAACTAAAGCATATATAAGCAAATAACAAGTAAGAGGTGGAACAAGTGTTAACAATGACAATAAAGAATGTAAGAGTAGATTAACAATGTGAGATAAAACATGTTGTGACAATTCCATTAAAGGCATTGAAAGATTCTAAATAACCTAAACCAGTCAAATATCACATGTATCCACTCGTCACCTTACATACACGGCTTTCACATAATATAAAGAGCACAATTAATCCAAATCCTAAGAGGTAGTTCCCCCATACAATGTTAGGTAAGATACTTACCTCAACTAGACCAACCCAACCCTCGAAAATAGCTTTTCCCATAAAATTCGCCTCCACACGGCTCAAATCTAACCAAAAGTGATTTAATATCATTAAAAAATGCAAAGGAAAATAATTACAATAGATAAAGCTTTGATCTTTACAAGAAAATCTAAAAAGTCAATCCCTGATTCGCTCGGTCAAAACCTGGGTCCAGGAGTAGTTTCCGTCTATCCTTAACTTGACGAGTCCATATATGTGATTCGTTTTCAAATCCGAGTCCAAATCGACTCTCAAAACTCAATTTTTCATTTTTCAAAAACTTGACAAAAAAATTCAATTTTCCTTTTTGATCTAATAAATATGATGTTAAATCTAAGATAAAATCATGAAATATAGTTGGAAATAGAATAGAATCAATAACCCAATGTTTGTAGATAAAAATCCCCTCTCCAAATCGCCTCCTACCGCGTCTAGGGTTCTATAATATTATAAATGAGAACTAAATCCCGAAATTTATATCGCAATTGCGACACCTGAGACTCCCCTGCCATGTTCGCAATTGCGAAGCTAGCACTTGCAATTGCGAAGCTGGCGCTCGCAATTGTGACATCAGAGCACCAGCACACCATATTTTCTATTTTTAGTCCAAGACATTTCGAATCACGTCCGAAACTCTTCCGAGCCCTCAGGACTCCAAACCAAATATCCAAACAAGTTTTAAAATATCATACGAACTCGCTCTCGCAATCAAAACATAAAAATAACATCTAGAACTACGAATCAGAAACCAAAACGCATGAATTTCAAAGTAAAGTTCAAGAACTTCTAAAATTGCAACTAAGCGTCCGAATTCTATCAAATCAACTCCAATTGATACCAAATTTTGTAGAAAAGTTCTAAAGAGCATAAAGGACCTATTCCAATTCAAAAAACCAAATTCCGAATCCGATAGCCAAAAGACAACCTACGGTCAAACTTCTAAACTTTAAATTGCCAATTTTCGGCAAAATAATCCAAATCAACCTACGGACCTCCGAATTTGATTCCGGGCGTACACCCAAGTCCAAAATCACGATACGAAGCTATCAGGGTCATCAGAACACCGTTCCAGGGTCATTTCATAGAAGTTAAACATTGGTCAACATAATCAACTTAGGCTTCTAAGCCAAGAGCCAAACGGTCCA